TTCTCAAATTTAATCAATCACTGATGATCTTCATTTGCACAGTATGTGTATACATTAACTTTTAAAAACAAAAATGGAACTACTTTATAGCATAGTTTTATGACCATTTAGTTCATTTAGTATAACATGAACATCTTCCACTTCATTAAACAGTCTCTTTTGTAGCATGCTTTTAATTACTGTATAATTTCATTTAGGAATATAACAATTTATGTATCTATTTACCATTTACATATATATGTGATTAATATAGATATTTATATTTGCATACATGTACAGACATTCACTTGCATATATATAGTACTTTATTCAAGTAATGATTGAGTAGATCTAAAGTGTTTCTTAGATATATTTTAGAATGAAATCTGAGTATGTCTGAGCCATAAGTAGGCTATGGGTACTTTTAAAAGAAGAGTAAATGATTTTCAGGGAAGAAGACTGTGCCCAAAGAACAGAGAATAGCCTAGGAAAATGTTCTCCTGAGCTCTATGTGTGGTGCTCATTCTAGACTTCCTTGCCATAAATTAATCTTCTAGGGGATCCAACTTTTAGGTATGTAGGGAGATTTCAGAGAAAGCACTTTTGTGCTTTTTGAGGAGGAAGGGGGGATAGACTTGGAGGGTGGGGGCTTAGCAGGTGGGACATTCCTTGGTTCTGCTCTAGTTCAAAGTTTTGAGCATGTCAAGGTATCATTGATGGTTCTATCATTTTCAGAGTTCCTCCACATTTACAGGTTAACTATAATTTAAAGCCTATTAATGTTTCTAAGTAGGCCAAATTGAATGTATACTGATTTACTTTATTTTAATCAGAATTAATCTTATTAAACTGAGGGCATTTCAAGTGGCAAAAGAGCATAACCTAGAGAATGGTAACTAGAGAATGGTAAGCTCTATTTTTTGTAGAGATATGGTACAGGAGCTGTTATGATTTCCTCATTTTTTCACCCACTGCAAACATATTTATGATTAACAAGACCAAAAGCATGAATTTGCTTATAACAAAATATCAATGTACAATGAGGAGAAAAAGTAAGGTAGGGATTTCTAATTTTTAGAGTTGTCAAATTGGAAGTGATAAAAGTGAAAGAAGAGCAGGGGTGTCAAAGAGAAGAAAGCGTTTAAAGGTAATTAAAAAAAATAACAATTGAGTAGATATTAGGATCAGAAATACAATTTTTAAAATATTTGGAAAGCATGTCACATGAGATAACATTTTGATTTTGCTTCAGTATTACATTTTTACAAATGTGTATCATGTAAAAAACTACGATTTTTAGCAGAATCAAATCAGTACATTAAAATTAATTGTTTTTAAAGTAAAACTTTTCCCTGAATAGAAGCTAATCCATTTCTCATTTTATAAGTAGTGAGTGTTCATTAATGGAGTCATTTTGCAAAAGTATTTGTCATGTAATGTCCCTAAATAAACAGTGAAATTAACATGTGGAATTCTTTTCAGTACATTGATGAGCTGTATGTGATTATCTTCTATCAGTGGGAATTCTAAGATTGAATAAAATATTCCTTAAGTCTTTTAAATAGGCATGATGTTAAAGAAAATGCAAGATGTTTGTAAAAGGTTTTTGTTCTCTACATATTTCCAGTTTTATAATGTTATTTTAAAACTAGTAAATTAGCAGTTCTTAATGATTCAGTGTATAATGAGTAAGGAAATAATTTAGAGAATTTTATATTAATTACTCCTTTCTTAATGTAAATCAGTTGGAATCAGGAATTTTCTTTCTATGTTCACATCAACAATTAAGAAACTAGAATGCAGATTGTGTTGTCTATGAAAATAGATAAACATCACAAATATTTGATAACAATTCATTTTGACTTTTTTGTTTGGCTGTATGTAGGAAAGTATATTTTGTGAATTTTTGAGTAATTATTTTAAGCTATAATGAGAAAAAGAATCAACAGGTGAGGAAAAAATAGGAAATGCTGTTTCAAGCTACTTCAGATGAGTCCAATTGCTTGTTCTTTCTCATTTCCTGTTTATGCTATTTAAAGAAAATTTTAAAAACCCTTTTTTTCTATTAGAATGCATTCTTTCAGGTACAAGCCAGAAAAGGAAAAGGCTGGTTCTATACTATAATTATTTAGCATTTTTTTTGCTTGAATAAGGTGAAAAACCGATACGGCTGCTGATACACAAGAAAAAGTTAACGTCAAACATTCGTTGACTAGAGACAATTATAAAAAAATGTATTCAACTCTGCAGTTGTGACTCATACCCTGATAAACACTAAGCTATTATTTATTCCCCACTAAGAAACTGAGAATGAATAAGAAGAATAATTACATATGTTTGCAACTAGTTCTAGCTATAAGAGTACTGCTTGTGACAATTTAAGTTCTGATTTTTAATACTATGTTAACACTATCCATTTACTCCTAGTACAGGTGACAAAATGATAATCTAAACAATAATGCTAAAAGGAAACTGTTACTTTTTTGAATGTCTGTGAGCTTTTAACTCGATCTTTTTTTTCCTTCTGGTACCGTGTGTCAAACTCCTGGGCTTGTGAGACAGGCGGGTCGCCACTGAGCTAAATCTCTGGCCCTTAACTTGATCTTAATGACCTAAAAAGTCATAGTTGAGCTACTTGTCTTCCTCATAGAGTAGAAAATTTTAATCCTATCTACTTTCCAGCATTGGGACTATTACACTTACTATAGTGCCTTTCTCTGTAAAATAATGTCTTTTTGTTATAGAGGAGGAAAGGTTCAGAATTTGCTACTCCCAGATATGGAGTTTTGACATGATGTTTTAAGCTGCAGGTACTTAAGATACAATATACAGGAAACTCTGTCTAACCTCTTCTGTCTTCTTTGATCTAAAAGGTCATAAAATTTCTGACTAGAAATGTACCCTTCAAAATGTTCAGAAAGAGAAGAACATTATTTTCTTCAGAAACTGGGAGTCAGCCCTAGAGTGCATCTATGCAAACAAAGTTGCTAAAATAACCTTAACATTCATTCTGTTTCTCTGTGTATTTCCTAATTACTGTCCTAAAATTTTCTGCCTCGAATCCATGCCTATTTGTCTTATCTCAGCCCTACAATTTATTTTTCTTTATATGAAAATGTTTATCTGCTTTTGTGTCAAACGAATTCTTAAGTTTAATTCTTAGGCTATTAGCAGGACCTAAGAAGATAAAGGTGGCTTTCCTCCCCATAAGAAGATTGTAAATAACTGAGAATGGGGAGGTACTTCCTTGATTTCTAAAAATTGTAAAAAAAAATTACCCTGAATTTTGTAATCATTCAATAACGTTTCAAAATAATATTCAACATCTTCTATCAGGAAAATATTATTTTGTGGAATTAAATTTATAGTCCAGAATATCTTAGAATCAAAATTGAAAATATTGATTGATAGGAGTTATCACATAGTCTGATTATATTCTTATTTTAGAATTAGGAGGACTCTCCACTTGATCTTAGCCAAAAGACCAAGAAGCGATAAGAATTAGGAAGACTCTTGAGAGAACCATAGAAATTCTTTCAACATGTTGTGTGGAATTATTTTTCCTCCCAAATCCTAGAGGAATTATTTTTCCTCCCAAATGTTCCTCAAGGTAAATATCTAACTAACAGCACAAGGTTATCAACACCAGAATTTCCAACTGATTTTGGGAATTCTCAGCTTACTAACTCTGAAGGACAATTCCTACTCTGGAATAATTAATATTTAGAATTTAATTTCTTAAATTGAGAAAAATATGCTTTTTCATGAAATTAATGACATTTTCTTGTTTTACTTCTTGAATGATAATCTTTGTAAACTTTCTTTAAATGATGTTCTAGTCAGCTTTCTAGCACTATCACACATAACTTAAATAATCAACTCACACACAGAAAATAATTATTTTTCCCCACAGCTTTGGAGGTTGTAGTGTATGATCAGTGGGGTCCATTGGCTTGGGTGAGGCAGAAGGTCATGGCAAGAGTGTGTGGCAGAGCAAAACTCCTCAACATGTGGCCAAGAGGCAAGATAGAGGAAGGAAGGGACTGGGGTCCAGCAGCCCCTTTTGAAGACATACCTCCAAGGACTTTGGAGATCTCTATTTCCACCTGTTAAAAGTTTTTAACACTTCCCATAGTGTCATCCAGGGGAGCAAGATTCTGCCACATAGTCTCTTGGGAACAAATTAAGATACAAAGTATAGCAAATGGTAATTTTTAAATAGTTTGAAGTTGGGTGCATATGTCTTTTCCGTTTAAAATTTTCCAGGTTCTTACTATGTTTCTATATGTGAGATGATTTCAAGCTAATCACCTTCCTGGCACTGATATCTAAAGTTCTACTGAAATGTTTATTCTCTTTCCCTGTTTGACTCATGACATTTCAAAGTCAGGATAAACTTATAGACAATAACTCAATGGTTGGTCAGTTTTGTATTGGATCTAGTAATGGTATTGCTGGTGCTTTAAAACTATGAAGGCCAAATCAGAGAAAAGTTCACTGATTATGTTCTATCCTAGCTTTTAAGTATGTTCTTACAGTATTTTACAGTTTGTATTTAATTAGGTGCAAAAATAAATTAATATTAGTATATTTTCAAATTTCTCTTTCATTTTACATATGTTCTAGTGCTGAATATCATCTCTAAGAAGTATATTGAAACATTCAACCACAGTGTTTTAGGACGTGATGTTTTCTTTGTTGAAGTTTTAGTCATTAGTCAAATTATGACTACGGTTGAAAGACAAAATATAGAATTGATGTAACGAACTAAAAGATTGTTTTTTTTTGTTTTGTTTTTTGGTACCGGGGATCGAACTCGGGTCCTTGCGCTTGCGCGGCAGGCGGTGAAACCACTGAGCTAAATCCCCGGCCCAAAAGATTGTTTTTTTCATGTAGCGTATGGATTTTGAGCAATTGTCTGGATGATTGTATTATTAAACTAGTAAACAATACACCTCAGGAGTTTATTTATTCAGTTTATTCTGTGTTCGTATGTGTGTGTACCTGTGTATGTCTTACAGCTGTTATTTCGAGAAACCAAGAAGGTCCAGGAGAAATGGGAAAGGCTGTGCTGATTCCTAAAGATGACCAAGAGAAAATGAAAGAACTGTTTAAAATCAATCAATTTAATCTCATGGCCAGTGATCTAATTGCCCTTAACAGAAGTCTGCCGGATGTAAGATTAGAAGGGTGAGTTTACACTTACACTATAATCCTGTTTATTAGTAATTTCCATGTTTCAGAATCTCAGAACTTCAGTTAACCCTGATTATATTAATTTTATAACTACATGGTCCTGACTACTATACATTCAACTGTGTAGCAGAAATTTATTATGTAAGCATTTTTGGGGAAATATGAACTAATTTTTAAACATGTTACTTACAAAAACAGTAGAATTCAAAGGCCTAACAGATTTTTCTTAGTGAACTTTTTTTTACTTTGCTTTATCTTACCAAGTACAGAATAAACATGCTTTTAATAGATTATTCGCTTGCCTGCAAAGAATTTACCATATACTTTGTTTTGAAAAACTATGTGCTTTGCTATTGCAACATAAAAATATTCAGTTACTTCCATGATTCCTTGACCCTTTAAAAATTACTCAATAGGTGTTCCACCAATGTATGCTATTTACAATTGCCATATTTATCAGCAATGAAAAAAAATTACCTGGAAATAATACTGCTTGAAAAATGATGAAAAATTCAACTTTTATATGCTTCATGTCAATTTATGTTCTACTAAGTTGAAGATATTTTAATTGGATGTAATAAAATCAGAATATTGTGTTAATATTGCCTTTCTACTATATACTCTTTGTACAGCCTATTTGTAGTATTAAAAAAGATATAACCTGATATTTTGGAAAAGTCTTGAGTTTACAAATATGCTGCAGTACACACTTCCATGTAAGATATACAGTGATTTTCTTTATGCACAGTAAAATTATAATTAATGCAAGTTTGTTACCTATAATGTGTTTCTTACATTACTATATCATGATATTAATATATTTATTAAGTTGGAAATTTTTCTAAATTTCTTCAAATAAGACCAACTCCTTATTAAGATGCTGAAGCTGATTATTGTCAGAGGATTCCCTTGGTAGCTAAGTAACTGATCCTTCTTAACATTGTATGCTTTTCAAATATCTCTTTAAAAATACCACAAATAGATACATGTTTTGGATATTTTTTCTAGAAAATGATTGAAAACCAAATATTAAATACGTGTTTTATAAAGGTCTAAATATTTTATGTATAGTCCTGAGCTTATGTTTATATGTATGTATTTATGTATTTATTTTAACATATATAAAGATTTTCTTTGACTCATTAAATAAGGAGGAAACCAGTAAGCTATTACAGTTGCTCCAAAGGGAAATTCAATTTTTTTTACTTTTATTAGTACATATTTGCAGTACATAATGATTACATTCAGAGATGTATCATATTTAGTTGAATCAGAATTGTATCAGATTTATTTATTTATCCTATAAGATCTCTAAAGTTAATTATCATATATACTGACTGAAAACAAGACTAATAGACCAAAGAACATATAAAACATGTAAGACAATTGTACTAAGTCAAATTACACTTTTAGATACTGTACATTATCTCGAATATATTAGAATACCTTTTTTCTTTCTCCTTTTTCTTATCTGTCTTCCACTTTATACTTTATATATACATTGAGTTTTTAATGTAAGAGAAACCATGCAATATTTAAGCTTGTGCGTCCATGTTACTTCAAATAACATTATGAACTCAAGGTGCATCCATTTTCCTACAAATGAATCAAGTTTATCCTTCTTTATGGCACAGTAGTATTCTGTTATACATAAAAAGCACACTTTTAATCCATTTATCTGTTGATGAGCATGTAGGCTGTTTCTAAGATTTAGGTATTATGAATTGCACTGCTATAAACATGAGTATCCATAAATCATAGTGGTATAATGTCTTTAACTGTTTGGGAAAGTTACCTAGAATGTATGTATTTAATGTTATTTCTATGTATTTGTATGTATTTAATGTTTGTATGTATTCAATGTTATTTATTTAAAAATTAATTTTTTTGCTATATTTTAGGCATACATTATAATCACATTCATCATTGGGAATTTGCACCTGTATGGGATATATTTTAGTTCTTGTTTTTTCCCATTCCTTTTCCCTCTCTTTCACCCTTCTACCTCACCCTATTTACAAAAGCTTTGTTTCCATTGTTTTCTTCTTTTCTCATATTTTTTCTTTCCCCTTTTCCCCCCTCACCATGTCCCCTTCCTCTTTGAACCTTTGCTTCCCATTTCACATTATCTACTGTACATTTTGGTCCTCATTTACACTTTGAGTTTCTCATACCAAAGAGACAATTTGGTATTTACACGTATGTCCCTGAAAGATATAATATGCATATTCTTCAAAATAATTCTGAACATTTTAAATGCTTTGTTTATTAGGTAATATTTTGCATTTATTACTTTGTTTTATATACCTTGGTGTGATATAATGGGTACCTATGATGCTAATGTATTTAGAAAAACTATATAAACACTCTTAAAATTTCAAATAATAGTTCAGGTATCATAACAAAGGGTAATTAGATTTTATAACAGATCTGGAATTATTAAAGTAAATTGATTTAATACAGAACTGTAGATTGGAAAAAGAAAGACAGCAAAGTCTTCATTATGCAAAGATTTCATTTGTGGACAGTGGTATTTCTTCTTTTAGGAATTTAAGTCACTTAGCAGTTAAATGCTTGAGTGGTCAAGTCTTTCACTGTGGAACCAGTCAACATTTGCCAATGAAAGAGTTAAATTGCTTAGCATAAAATTTACATAAATACCATATTTACTCTGGTTATTATTGCTTAAGTCCTGAGATTTTATAAATAATTTATGAAATAAAGTTATTCAAATAAATTATTTTCTATTTTATTTTTTTGTGACACCACAATGGATGTCATCAAAAAGGAAATAGAACTACTATCTAGAATTGCTTGATGAATCATAGTGTGTAAAGTTTATTGGGGACAACTAAAAACCATCTTTTATGTCTAATGTTGAAAAACTCCTTGTGAATCACATATCCAAACTATTACTTAATAGTTACAGAGATATTTTAGTAATCCTTTTACCTGAGGTTTTTAAACTTTAGGCCTTGAAAAGTGCTATGGCGACTGGAAGGTAGCCCAGTTGTATAGTGAGGGGCCGGGTTTGATCCCCAGAGGGAAGAAAAAAAGATATTGGAACATTCAATTAGTCACTATAAAATGATGAAGTACAAATTATGTATAGATGTTACAAGTGAATCCCTAAATAGTTAGTTTTAGAAAAGCTTACTTTGTTTTCATAGAAAATCTGAGTTGGTACTCAGAAATTGTCTGACTCACACAATGAATTCTTTCAAATATCCAAATATATTTTACAACAATATATCTTTAAATTGTTTTGACTAAATCCAGAAAATAGTTCAAGCAGTTTAATGTTACATTTTGGGTTCATAACAATCCAAAACTATCTGAAAATTTGTTCAGAGTAGTAAGTATAAGCAAATATTCCATGTTTTCACATGGAACAGACTAGGCAAAAGTACTTTCTTTGCAGACAATTGTATTGAAATAGCAGAAAAACCTGGAGTAAAGTCTGGAATGTTCATCCCTACGGGTATTTAATGTATTGAATTTATTACTATATATAATACATTTATAGGTAATCCTAAATTACTTTTGGGATATAACATTATAGGTATCACAAATATAATGTTTGTATGTTTTAAGTACAAGGCTAGAGGCCTCTGCTAACTTACTTTTTGGAAGATCTATGGGATTCTTATTATAATGTGCATATGCTTATGAATAAAATCTAAACATCAGTAACAAACTTCCTCACTCTGTTTATCACCCTTCACAAATTTACAAAAAATAAAAGGAAAAGGAAATGTCGTGAAATTTTATCTTGTCAAGAATGTTGAAAAAAGTGAATATTAACTTGATTAGTTGAGACTCAGCATTGGGAATTTGTTAGCATATTTCTCAACAATTGTGTGTTTAAGTTTTTATAAGTTTATATTGTTTAAATTTTTAAAAAATAGGACTTAAATGCTTCTGTCTTTTAGAAAGCAAATAAATGCATATCATTTGTTTTGGTCTTTTTACCAAAATTTTTTTGTTAATATTGGAGAGAAAGTAAAAGAGAAGGATAAGAGAGAAAAAGAAAGTAATAATTATTAGACTTAAGAAATCTATCAAATGATCATGAACACATCATTGTGAGGATCTTAGTAGTCAGTATTAGCCTATGCTACTAGGCTTTATAGGAAGTAGGAAAAACAAAATGACTTGGATCATGACCCATGGTCTGGGGATAGTACTGTGTTCCATTATATGGAAAAGAAATAGGGGAAACAGAATGGCAATTCTAGACAGAAAAATTTCAAGTTAAGACTAGGGGAAAGTCTCTTGATATGGAGCCAAGGCACTTAGGTTTAAGATTTGACCCTATGGCTTACTGTTTCATTTTGGGAAAGTAATTTTCTAAATCCAAGTTTTCTTTCATTGATTAAACTAATTAGTAACTCAACCATTCGGCAAATCCCTGTTGTTTACCTCATATTGGTTTAGTCTTTTGAACACAAAACTGGTGTAATAGGCCCTGAAATATAGAAATTTAGAGCTAAGTTATAGAAATATATTTATATAT